GGGGGCTCTTCGGAGGTCACTCTGAGGATTTGCAAAGGGCAACTATCTGCCCCCACAAATCCCAGAACTGTGAGCCAAGCCCCAAGACACAGATCGGTTTCAGAGCCTTCTGCTCGTGTTCTGACTCTGGGTGAGCCTCAGGGGCTCGTTCCATTTTGTTCTCCCTTTCCATTCTGCTAATATCCATATTCCTCCTCTGAGGATTTATTTTCTCTGGGCGTCGTGACAGACTACAATGCTAGGTTCTCAGCAATCCCCTTCTTAGCAGTTTTCAAAGTCAAGTGGAGGGCTTTATTTTTCTTAGGCTTTCAAAGAATATATAAAGGGGACATAAAAGTAAACAGCAAACACAGAACAATAATTTACATGCAGAATCTCCCCTTGTTGGCCATGTTTCAGCTCCTAATCTATAATCCCTCAGTCTCCTGAATAAATGAAAGTCTGGTTGGGTTTCTGCCTGTTCCCTTTTATCTCTGATGGTACAGCTTACCACATCTCTCCCTACCCCCCAACCATCCATAGGCCTAAATCCCAGTAAGGATGAAAACGTGTTGATTCCTTCCCTTCTCGGGAGTGGGCCTAAAGAAACATCCAGAGTAGAGAATCAGGTACCGCTTACACTTGCTGTGCCTGCACCTGGGTCCCCATTCTCCCTGTGACCTCTTTTTGCCTGCCTGCCTCCACTTACACACACACACACACAAAAAAAGAGCAAAAGGGAGGGGAAGAGCTTTCAAGCAGGAAGAGTTCAGTTGTCTTTCATCAGTTAGAAGGAAGAAATGCCATGTACATTTATTCAGATATCAGACTGAACACTGCTCTCTGCCAACCATGTTAACAGACGTTAAGGGTACCGCAGTGGGCCGGGCGAACGCGTTACCTTTCCCCATAAAGTACACAAATATCAGAAAGTAAGGTTGTGGGGAGAACTGAAGGTAACCGTAGGAGGAAACGCAGATAAAGAGGGAAGCAGGGGCCGTGTGATAGGAGGTCTCCGTGTCACAGTAGGAGCCTGGACTCCTTAGATAAGTGATCAGGAGATGATAAAGGGTTTTACACAGGCATGCAATTGCCGTTGCCATTAGAAAGGAGCCTCTGGCAGTTATGTTGAAGAATGTAGGAGCAGTCAAACTGAGACGGGCTGCCCAATTAGAGACTCACAGTCATCCAAGAAAAATAGCGCACAAACTGGGAGAGGTGATGCGGACGCCGAAAGAGCGAGGAGAACGTGTAAATTATAAAATGCTTTTAAATCTAAAATTTCAGGACGCACTGATTGCACGTTGCGGAGGAGAAGAGCTGATTTCAGGTGCTCTTGGCAGCACAGACAGTTTTCCAGAATCCTAATTCTCCAAAAATAGCCAATACACTTCTAAAATTTGTACCAATCTTAACTTTCAGTTGTATAAAATTAAAAGTTACCCTTAACTCAGAAGCAGGTCATTCATGTTGCCTGTGTCATATGGACAGACAGTAAGCTAACTAAGTGTCCTTTTTTTTTTAAAGTTACAATGTGGGAGTTGAAATGCTGAAACACTTCAAACCCATCAACGTCTCCCGATGTAAAGGTAAGTCTGCTCTGTCCCGTGGCAGGTGCTGTTGCCACATCTCTTACATGGAGGAAATCTCATCAGTCCTAATGCTAGCCATTGTAGGTTTTTGGAGCACAATTCCTAGCAGGAGTCTACGTGTCAATCACATTGGACTTCAAACAAAGAGAAATTTCACTCAAAGAAATTATTTCAAACTCTGTTTGTAAAAGATTGCATCTTGAAATCTTTATCCAAAACAAGAAAAATGTAAGAGTAGCCTACATTTGTATTTAAGCCCAGAAGTTCATCACCACCCTGGGGTCTGAGGCCCTGGGTGAATGTCTTTGGTGGACGCCATAGCTAACGTTTTGGTTTTGGCTTCCTAATTCTTTGTTGGCCCCACCTCCTAATTTTTAGTTGATGCACTTACCAATTGTATGTGGCCTCCACCTTATGAAATGTTTTATTGACAACCCCAAAGCCATGTTGCTTATGAAGTATTTATACTACCCTAGCTTTAAAATAACTTCATAAATTCAATCTATCTCATTTTGCCAAGAGTATTCATTATGAGATCTACTTTAACTTATAATGATTTATTACCACTATTTATTCATTTATTCAGCAAACATTTGTTGAGAGTCTGAGGGATATGAGGCATTATGGGCAAATGGAAAAAAATAAATTCTCAGTAAACTTGCAGTCTAAATACATTTAACCAGGCAGTGCCTGTTGCTCAGTGGGTAGGGCACCAGCCCCATACACTGAGGGTGGCCGGTTCAAACCCGGCCCTAGCCAAACTACAACCAAAAAATAGCCAGGCGTTGTGGCGGGCGCCTGTAGTCCCAGTTACTTGGGAGGCTGAGGCAAGAGATTCGCCTAAGCCCAAGAGCTGGAGGTT